GCCAAGTAGCTATTCCATCGTCCTCTTCAAACGATGACGAGTGATTTTAATTGATTTGAGGCGTTGTGGTGTAGCGTAGGAGCAATTGATGCCATAGACCTGAGGAGGGGTGGCCACTCGCCTGGGGTGGCCACTCGCTATGCACAGACGTTACCAGAAGTTCAATGCCGCGACAACCCCTTGGCCTCGAGGATTCGAACTTCCTGCTACCTGGGAGCCAGACAAGACCTCCCAGAAATCATACATCAAGCAGACGGGTTCTCTAAACTTCCTTTCCACGGGAACAAGACCTGACATTACTTACACAACGAATCGTCTCTGCGAGGCGAATGCTGGACCATCTGACCAGCATAAGCAACTACTGAAACATCTGTTCAGATATCTCATCGGAACTGCAGATCTGTCCCTCTGCCTAGGTGGAACACATTCCATTACTGACCTTCCGCTGATTGCATTTGCCGATGCAGCGTTCGCAGATCGGATTCCGACTCGCCATTCGACTGCTGGCTACATCGTTCTTCTAGCCGGCTGTCCCATTCTCTGGAAGTCCAAGAGACAGACCATCGTCGCACTCTCGACAACAGAAGCAGAATTTATGAACCTGACACCAACTGGACAAGCTCTTCTGTGGATTCATCGCACTATTCAGAACCTTGGAATCCGATCTAGCAAACCGGTCATCGTATTCACAGACTCTCGAAACGCACAACTGACAGTTCTCAACCCAATGAACTCAGCTCGCACGCGACACATTGATACTCGTTTCAAGTGGATCATTGACCGCACAAATCAAGGAGACTTTGATATTCAACATGTCTCAACGCAAGACATGACAGCTGACGGCTTGACAAAACCACTCTCTCAGGACCGTCATGTTGCTTTTGTTCGTCTACTTGGGCTTACATCTCCTCCAATGCTTAAGTAGAAGACTCCATGTTTGTTTGAGCTTCGCTCAGTCATCTAGCCATGTCTGGCTACGGGGGGGTGTTGGACGGATGCTTCTAGAAGGTTCTGTGACGCTGTCGACATTTGCCAGCTTCGTCTATATGAGACGCAGCCTTCCACTCCTTTCTGTAGCTAGAAATGAACAAGTTCATTCACTCTTTTCCAGTCTGTGTGTGCAGACAACATTATCATGTTGTGTTGGAAGAGACGGGTTGCCTCTAGAAGGACTGAACTGAACTGAACTGTATTCCTACTCGGTTGTAGCCGCTAATTTAACCGCAGCCATGCCCGGTGAGCGGGGTCTAGCATGCAGCCGACGCGGCCGGATTAACAATCCAGCCGCCCCACTTCGCCAGCGTAATGTAAACAAAACCTTGGCCAGCTGCCCCCAAAATTCCCGCTTTGCTCCTCAACCCCAATCTACTCGTGGCTGGTCCCCTCGTGTAGAACGTGGTTCTCTACTAATGTGCGTCGTGTACAGGCTCTGTCGAGGCGATTCGCCTCATGTCTTGGGTCCGCATACCTACAGTCTCCCCCCGATGCTCAGCTTTGTCTGGTGTGGGACTCGATCCTGAATTGCCCAAGGATCTCCGTCAGTTCCATAAACTTGATGGCCTTTGCGGCTGCCTTGCGCTCGCGCAATAGGTCCCGGAGGTCGTGTCGTCCTGGCAGGGGGCCTAGTTCCTGGCGCCGGAGTTGTCGATACTTGCGACATCGCAGCAGGACGTGCGATACCGTTTGGCGTCCTTCCCGGCATGGGCAATTGGCGTCCGTGGCATCCGGCGCTCTTCGGTTGAAGAGGAAGTCTCTGAGTCCTATCTTCTCTGTACGCAACTGGACAAGAAGCGCGCTCTGGCGCTTACTCAGTCCGTCGTGCAGCCGTAGGACCTTTTTGTTCGGCCTGGGCGTGTAGCGGTACGAGGTCCTACCTCGCGTCTCCGCCGCCCACCTTGCCGCCCAGGCCTTGTGGGCTTCTTTGTGTGTCCATGTCTTCCGTGTGGAACGGAGAGAGTAAAGCTCCGTGGGCATCTCTGCTCGCGGCCCCGGTGCTCCTCTCTCGCGCCATCCTGTGGCTTCTTTGGCTGCCCTGTCCGCATCTTCGTTGCCTTGCACTCCGGCGTGGGCCGGGACCCATCGTATCTCAATCGGCAATTTTTGTTCCTGCAGTGCTGTCGTCTGGAATACGATCTTCTTCAGTAGGTAGGCCCCAGGTTTACCTTTGGGCTTGGCTGAAGAGCGGATGGCTGCCTGATTGTCGGTGTAGATGATGACCTTGTTGCGTCGGTATCCTTCGCCTCGATCTCGTTGTGCGATATCGAGCGCTAGCGAGATGCCCTGCAGCTCGCCGGCATAGACCGTCGAGACATCTTCGGTTCCCATGTATGAGCTTCGCGTCTGCTGTATTGTTGGGCAGACTGCTGCCGCGCCGATCTGACCGTTGATGCCGCTTCCGTCGGTGTATATGTGGAGGGCTGCTTTTTCCCGTAGTAAGAGGGCAAGGTGCTTCTTGCGAGCCTCGTCTGCTGTCTCTTCGATGTAAGTTTGTGGCCCTTGCCACCACGGTGGAGCAACAAATGGGTCTATCTGCTCTTGAGTCCAGTTATTCACTTCTCTGCCATGGATCGTTTTCTGTATTGCCTGGCGGGGGCTGGTCTTTGTTCGTCTTTGTTGCGCTTGTCTGGTCGGTCCTGATGACGGTGTGCTGATTCGGTCGAGCGCTTCAATGTTATGCTTCCATATTTGCTGCTCGACTGGGAGGAGGTGCATCTCAACATCCAGTGCCGGTAGCGAGGTTGCCTTGTATGCACCGCTCATCACCCTAGCAGCTCTGCCCTGTAAACTCTGTACTTTCCGTAACGTCTTTTGCGTGTAGCCACTATCGGGCCAACCAGCGTTGGACCAGACCGAGCACGCGTACATCATTTGCGGTACGGCAACGCCTCGGTAGATGGTGCGCATATCCTTCGTGCGGACCCCCCAAGCTGAATTTCCGAGGCAGCTCAGCGCTGCGATTGTCTTCGACACTTTTCGCTCCATTTCGTCGATATGTTGTCTCCATCGTAGTTTGCTGTCCATCGTTACGCCCAGGTATTTGCATGTTGGCTTTGGCTTAATTTCGCCCCATCTGGTTTGTAGCGGTGTGCTGGTGTCGATTCTGGACTTTGCTCTTGTGAAGTGAGTGAGTTGGAACTTGTCCGGTGCAAAGACAGACGCATGGCTAGATGCCCAGTCTTCCGCTTCGCGGAGTGCCGCTTGCAACAGTATGCAGGTCTCTTCCGTGGTTTTGGCCCACGCCAAGATGGCGACGTCGTCGATGAAGCCCGTAGCGGCTGTGTTCTCGTCTTGGTTACATCTGTCTAGCAAATCGGCGTTGTAGAAGAGGTAGAGGATAGGTGATAGCGGTGAGCCTTGGGGCTCTCCTGTAGTCAGCTTGTATGGTTCGGAGTGGAATCCGTCTATGCATAGTTCCGTCTGCCTCTCCCCCAGGAAGCTCGCTATCCAGCGAACCGTCTTCTCGTCGACTCTTCTCTTCCGTAGATTGTGGAGTAGACGTCTGTGTGAGATGTTGTCGAACGCTCCGGAGACGTCCAGCAGTAGAAGGCTGGCGACCATGCCTCCGCCTTTGTTCCAGGCGTTGTATATCTTGTCGATGATGTAGTGCAGTGCGTGTTCCGTGGATCTCAGTTTCCGACCACCCATGTGGGTCGCAGGAAGCAGGTGGTAAGTCTCCGCTATGTAGCTCAGTCTCGTCGCGATAATGGCGTCCATGACCTTGCCGATGGTGTTCAGTAGGGCGATGGGTCTGTAGGATTTCGGCACACTGTAATTGTCTTTCCCTGGTTTTCGTATGACGACCGTGGTGGAGTGTCGGAAGTGTTGCGGGCAGTACTCGAGTGACAGGCTCTGGTTGAAAATTCGGGTCAAATGTTGTCGGATCCACGGCGATGCAATCTGCAAGGCTCGGTTCACGATGCCGTCCGGCCCCGGTGCCTTGAGCGGCGCCGCATTGCGGAGTGCATCTTCGACTTCTTGTTCCGCGATTGGTGGCAGGCTAATCTGGTCGGCGTAAACGGCTGTATCAATGTCATCTAAATTGGCGTCCGGTGGCGTAGGGAAGAACACTTTCCGGAACAGCTCGGCCTTTTCGTTTGGCGTAATGGCAGCTTCTGCAGTTGCGGGATCCTGGAGGGCCGGCGTGATGGCAGATGTTTGGCTTTGTCTGTTCCGTGCCCACTTGGCTATGCGCCAAAGAGACTCCGGCGACTCCGCCGCTTGTTCCACTCTTTCGCGATGCGATTGCCGCAATGCTCTGCCAATGAGTCTCTTCTTTCTATTCCTTGCTTTGCGATACGATTCCCAACTTTCCTCTGTATGTTCGCGGCTGTATATTCGACGAAGTCGCTTCGTTTCTGCAAGGACTGCCGAGCATTCTTCGTTCCAGCCTGGTCTCGACTTTGATGTCGTGTGACAGCGTGGCACCCCGGCTTCAATGGCTGCATTGATGGCTGTGGTGATCTCCTGGACGTATGTGTCTAAAGCTGTCTTTGTCCGCGGTCTCCGTAGAGGTGGAAGCTGTTGTCTCAGCGTTTTGGTGAAGACTGCTTCGTCGATTGCCTTCCATTTCAGCCTCATCTTGGGCTGGAGCTGAGTGACGGTGAGGTCTAGCGAGGTGACAATTGGTAGATGGTCTGAGTCATGATCGATGTCATTATCTATTTCGCACTTGATCAGTCTGTCGACCAGGCCTATGGTCGATAAGCTCAGGTCGATTGTAGATGCGCGGTCGGCTTCCTGGAATGTGATGGTTCCCGTGGAGAGGTGACTAGTCAAACCGAATTCATCCATAAGTTCAAGCAGCTCGTCTGCTTCGTTATCCGCATGTCGTACTCTATTTCCTCCCCAATGTTCATGGTGCAGATTGAAGTCTCCTATGACGATTTGTTCTGCCCGCTGCAGGTTCTGCATCTCTTGCCTCAGCCGGGGCAGCGTGCTTCGTCGGTTCTCTTGCCGCTGATGGGGGTTGTATACGTTATGTATGGCAATTTTGCTGCTGTCTTCGGTATTCGTCTCCAGTATCAGAGTGCATAGGTCTCTGCCGGTGGCTCTGAAGTGCCACCTGGAGTGGTCGAGATGCTTGCTGATGAAAAAGCACACCCTGGCTGATTCTCCCTCATCCATGGCGGGGTAGCACAGGTGGAAGAGGTCTTTCGCCGGGTGGTGTGTTGTGTCAGTGAAGGGGTTTTTCCAAGGCTCCTGGATGGCGATAATGTCGTAGTCCTGGATTCGGGGATCCCGAAGAAGCGTCGCCATTACGGTGTCCTTGGATTTCCTAACGTTGTACTGTAATATTGTAAGGATGTTTTTCGTAGTCATTCTTGGTCGTCCATGTCCATTTGTGGGCTGTCTTGTGTCCAGTGCATGTTCGCGTCCAGAGATTCTAGTGCTCGGCGTGTTCTCGTCACTGCCCGTTTCGGTCGTGCGTTCTCAGTGTCTGTCGAATCGGTGAGAACATTGATGTTGAGGCCAGCATTTTCGTCATGGGGCTGGCCGTTTGTTGGGACCTGACGTTTCTGGATCTTCTTGGTGGGCGATCTGCTGCGACCTGGGCGGGCTCCCTGGGATTGACGCGGTTCCAGAGTTGGCCGACCCGGCCTCGTTGTTTCCTTGGTCCGGATTTGGTTGTCGCTTGTCGCCGGTATGAGTGGCATTGGAGTCTCCGGGTGGTATTTTGGTCGTGCCTTGTAGGCGGCTTTGATCTTGGCCAGTTCCTGTTTCCGTGTCGGGCATTGGCCGTTCCAGGCCTCGTGTTCTCCGCGGCATGCGGCGCATTTCCGGGGTGCCTTGTCGTCGTTCTTCGCGGGACACTCTCGGGTTAGATGATCTTGCGCGCAGTAGCCGCATGCTGTCGTTGCCTTGCATTGGGTTCCTATGTGGCCGTATTTGTGACATCTGAAGCACTGTCTCAGACGGCACTGTCTGTCATATCGTTCACACTGAAAGACCTCACCCTGCCAAATCAGTCCCTCGTCGATGATTCTGTTCGCGTCTTCCGCTTTTGAAAATTCCACAATCACCGACGAGGCCGATTTTGTGGCCGACGACTTAGTGAGCCAACCGATGTATTTGATCTCTGCGTTTGGAATGAATGGTTTGTTGTCCTGCAGGAGACCATCTTTTACTTCCTCGAAGCGCTCCATATCCATGGAACTAGTACGGATACCATGTGCTAGTACACCATAGGTCAGGATGCGCACTGTGGCGCCGTTGCCAATCCTTTGTTGCCAGTCCTCTGCGAACTGTCTTAGGGCTTCCACGTCTGCGCTGGTGGCGGTCTTTATGCTGAGGTCACCACTTTTCAACTGATTCGATGAGGTCACTTTGATCGTATTGATGTGTTCGTTGCTGCTTTGTTCGATAGCCCTGTCTATGTGCGCCTTTAGGCTACGCGGACTCATCGCTCTGATGTTGGCAATGGTGACCGGATCTCGGATGTTCACGATTATTTCACGTTGTGCTTGGACGGGAGATGCTCTATGGTTCAGGGGATTATGTATGCTTGCGGCAATCCCTCCCCTGGCAGCTATAGTAGCGTACGTTTGTGCAAGCGGATTCTGCGGCGCGGCTCCAAGTGGCTTCATGTCCCTTACCATTTTCATGGTTGCCTTGCTGACTTCCATTGCCTCCTTCGCCGCCGCGGTTGCGGCCCTGGCGGTGTTGGCGTTCTCTTGTATGCTTGTGATGGTCTGTTGTGTCATGCTATTTGTGGTCTTGAGTTCGTCTCGGATGTCGTGCATGGCTCGGTTGGTTTTCTCGACGGCGGCCTTTGCTTCGGTCTGTATGTCCCGGATCGCCTCTTGGACACGAGCCAGGTCGGCTGTACCCTGTAGCTTGACGATCAGGGACAGCGTCCCAAGGATTGAGTATCTGACTTTGGATGGGTCGATGGGTGGTCCGTCTGCGTTGATCGACTTCAGTGCTGCCTGTAAATAGGTGCTCAATTTCGTGGCGTGCTCTCGGTAATCGGCGGGCCAGGTTTGGTCCTCAGGCCACGGGGTCGCCATGGCGCGTGCGTCGCACTTGGGCTATGCGACGGACACCTGGCTATCCAATTGACCCTTCGGAGCGTGCTGCGGCGCGATAAATGGCTGTTGTTTCAAAAATTTCGTACTCGCTGGTGATGATGTTTTGGGGCTCATGTGCTGCCCCGCACGAAGCCCTTTGTCCTCGGGAGGGGTCCCGGTTAATCTTCGGGCCGCTGACAACACTTTGTGCCGGAGGTCCGCTGCCTGGCCGTCGTGTGGTAACTAAATGCGAACCCATTCCTGGTGGAGACTAAAGCAAGACCAACGGACGCGACCATAGGTTAAGAGAAGGATTGAAGCTGACAGTAAGGGATTTCCCGGTGATCTGCCGGATCCGGCGATCCGCCGGACTTACACGCGGTTGCATTCCTGGTATCAATCAAGAATTACCACACAACCACGAGATCAAATAGTCTCAAATTCGACG